TTTTGGAAAATGGTAAAAGGGTCGGTGTTACGTCGTTGTACGAAATTGCGCCAGGGTGTATCAATTCTCCAACGTGTACTGGGTTTCTTTCTCCAAAGCTTTCCAAAAAGCACCTTCCCCATGAAACTATAGTTTCCATGAGTTTGTCTCAGATACCCAAGAAGTATCCACGGATCTTGTCACTAAGTAAAGAGCTGACACTTCTCGCCCATGTTCGTGCTGAAGGCCTTGCGGCTGGTCGCTACCAAGATCTTTATTTTCTGCACCCCCATTTGTAACCATGAGGCGTGAGCGCCCACGATGCTAGTGACACACTTCCTGGGGTGAATGAAACCGTCATGCTGACTGTCTTTTTATCCCATGACTTGTGCGCGTTCATGAGACGTGCATGTTGAGTAACATCCATAGCTGTCATGTACGGCGGTTCGTTACCAGAAACAGTATGAATAATTCCGAGAGGTTCCATTTGGTCAAGATATTCGTGCTGTGGTAACTGCTGAGGCAATTGTACGTCGCGTGTACTACCAATTTGTGGTACCATTACAATACAACGAATCTCCTTCACTTGGTCGTTGTCCGGAGGGGATGAACCATATAGATATCCAGCTACTTGAACTCTCAAATCCGCGATCGTAATAAAGCGCTTCAAGATATTTTTGGGCATGATATACGTGTAATGATCATCCTCTTTAACATCGTCAGAGGAGATATAGATATTGTTAGATCTCGTCCTCAAGTTCGAGGTTGCAATCGCTCTCGTTCTCCATTCAGTTTTCGATGCAAAGGTTTGTTGCTCGAACTGCGAGGTAGTTGTAACAATGATATCCTCTCCGTGAACGTTTTGAGTCTTGGTTGTGACAGCTGTAAGCTGTTGCTGCTCTTGTTGCTGCTTTTCAATCTCGGCCGCCTGTTGACGTTGCATTGATGGAGCACTAATTTCCATACCCAAGATGATGTCACGAACTTCACTGCTGGTAAGACTGGAAGTGTTGACATTGTTCTTTTTGCCGTAATCATTAAGGATGAGATCACGCAGTTGAGTCTCGACCTTGATCCAATCCTCGTCTGATAATGTGGGCCAAATATGATGCTCTTGAGTGATCACAGTCTTATCAGGTCGAAGTAATAACTTCGTCTTGTCCTGATTTACATGTAAAGCACGTAAGATAAGGATCAAACGTGAGAAGGCGGTGTATGAGGAAATTGATTTGAGCCATTCGTCATAAAGATTGAAGAGAACCATTTGAGGTTCAGTGGCACGAAGAATCATGTCACCGAGCTTTTCGACTTTCATGGCAGCCTGGAATGGTAATTGCAATTCGGAAGCACGAATTGAGATGTTCGGAAAGTCAAGCAAATGCACTTCAAGTGGATCAAGAAGACCCTTTCTGGTAACAATAAGCTGTTTCGGTTGCTCTTCGATGGGCAATGATCTAATGAGAGCAGCAACTTCTTCAGCAGTCTTCCACTTAGCCAATTGTCCTAGACGTTTCTGTCCTGCCCAAACACTTGTATGAATAATCTTCAAGAAGAGTTGACCAGTGCGAGGATTGAAGATAAAAATTGCTCCGTTAATCGGTTTGGTCGTCAAGTTACCCTCGAAAGTCTTGTGGATGGTAACACGATAAAACATTTGTGTCATCAATGAAAAGCTGAATCTGGTTGCTGAAAAGTTCGGAGTAATTTTGAGAATTCAAAAACTCTTGATTACTTTCAGAAGCGTACAATTGGAGACCCTTCCTGATACGTTCACGCAAGACGTACAGGGCTGGGTTTGCCTTCATGATTTTGGCCATAGCCTGCTGAATCAATTGCTTGAGACCGGGGAAGTATTGCCCATACGCCGAGTAGAGATTGTAGGCAAGATCAATACCAATCATCAGACCTGTGGCGGAAGGATAGATACTCATACTGTCAGTTGTGTAATCGAGGTATTTTGCTCGGACATATCGTTCAATGTCATGAGAATCATAGTCTCCGTAACGAAGTTGGACATCTACCCAGAATTTGTTCGTTGTAGTAGCTTCAATTACATCTTTTGTGTCGAATAGAATAGATGGGCGAGTTACATTCCACTTGTGGCTTGCAAACAGTAGAATATCGGCACAGGAGCTGTTCATCTTGTAGGACTTTCTAGGATGAATAGTCTCCTTCTGTACTGTCTCAATACCAAGTTGTTCAAGTTCCTATAAGGTCGGGAAAGTCAGTAATTGCTTGTGAAGGAAGGCTTTAGAGGGTACGGATCGACTAACTTGATCAAATACTTGACAGAGATCCATGACCACACTCTCATGTATCTTCTGCCAAAGATGTGCTCTGAAAATTTGAATAAGTGATATCTTCAAAGTCGGAATCTTTCCGTGCAAGAAAATACCAGTTAGATCCAATTGAACTTGGAAACCAACATACACATTGGCTCTGTTGATAGTCTAGATTTAAACCAAACGTCAGCTTGTTATTCATTATCTTAGGGCGCGCGGGGCATTGCAAAGTGGATTGAGGAGACCAAGCGATGCATGAAGTAAATCGCACGTTGAGCTCCATAAGTGTGCCTCATGAGACTTCATCGTCCCGATCAAATTTGACAATCAGAGACACTCTTTTGCCAGAAATAAAATCATATAACTTACAGGCGACCACCAAAGAGTAAAGCGACGATTGGGAATTTGATTAAGACCCGATCTTTGAGCGTTCGTTAACTTCTTGAATTTCATAGACCTGTATTTTTAAATGTTAGTAGACTTTCATTCAAACTTGGGGGCAAGGGTCTACTCGCTCTTCAAATCCACTTGCTTTTTCCCAAAAGAGACCTTCCCAGGATGGAAATGCTGTCGCCTTGAAGAGTGTATGTTCAAGAATGGTTTCAACACCACCAAGTGCTTGGATAACATCGGTACGATAGGCATTAAGGTTCCACAATTTACCATCGTGACGTTGACTAGTCCACCAAAATGGATTACTCTTCATAAGTTGGTATGTCTTGAACTCAGTACGTGCGCGGAATCCTTTATCAAAACTCAAGGTGCTTCTATCTTTCTGGAAAAGTGTATTGATACGAGGTAATCCACGATCCCAACTATCTTCAAGATCCTCAAGTGTCAACCTTCGATTTTGCTGATTCGCCTCCTGACGTTTCTGAGAATATTCAGTCCACACACGCTGGGAGTCGATAAATTCAGCTTCCCATGGTATGATGTATCTGAAAATGTTAGGGATAAGAGTGTCCTCATCATGGCTCATTCCTGCACGATAATGGGTAACACCAACGTCTGTCTGCTTGGACCATCTTTTGTCACTCGTAGGAATGAGGATATGTGATCCGGAAATCATACCAAGACCACCAAGTTCCTTTGGTGTATAGAAAACAGCAGGAGGGAAACGAGAAGGCATCTTAGAATTAAGACCAATCTTAACTCTGGTCTGAATCTTCGTCTCACATTTCACAATGGTATCCAGCAAGTTGACCGTTGATACAGCTGCTTCACGATAATATGTGAAGAGGGCGATCAAGGTTGTATTCCATTTATTAGCAATCTTTGTGAATGTGGTTGACCCAGATGACATCAAAATTTGACGAATGCGATTATTGAATTTCGCGATATCTTCCTCTGTGACCTGCAAGAATGCATGTGCCGTTCTCTCCTTGCTGGTGTTATCGACCAAGGACCATACGCTGTCCTTAACAGGAAATTCGTCATTCTGGTTACGAATTTTAGGGAGAATTCGTACTTCGAAACCGCACATGGAGAAAAGTAAATTCGGGTTGTCTCGGCTGTATACGCTTGAAAAGGTATCATCCCATTCGATCGTGGTAACAGATCTTGGTAAGCGGTTCTTCAAGTCCCAGAAAACAGCACGGCCAAGATTGACGTCGTGTCTCATGAGACGCATTCTAGAATCTCTTGGCCAGCATTTCTTGTTTTTGTAGCCGATGACATTTTCAAAATTAGGATCAGGTTGTTCTGTAAGGAAGCGCTGGATAAGATCGCGCGATTCATCGGCCGTAAAGCGGAAAAATACCCAGATACGATCAATATATCTTGTGTATAGACGGATTGGATGTCTTGTTTCCGTCTCCCGATCGCGGAATTGGAGGAAATCGTTAGGACCTGCTGGTGGTCCAGCAATTTCACTAGCGCGTTGGAGGCCCAGAAGCAAGAGGTCGAGAACAAGTCCATAGTACTGGAAAACGAAGGCCGAGAATTGAAGACCTCTGATCATTCCGTAACTGTTGACGTGATTCATATCTTTGTAGGTCAATTGAACGTTATTTTTGGACGATATGTAATCAGCCAGATTGTGGTCCATGATAAGTCGAAGCAAACGATTAAGAAGAGTTAAATCGATCTTCTCGTATACCTTGGATAATTGTGTTTCAATCATAACATTACACTCTCCATCTGCGGTCTCCCATACTTTGTCGAGGTTATTAATACCTTGAGCCCATTTATAGGTCAGTAAGGGCGGGACCTCGGAATCGGAAGGCTTGATCCAGGCAGGGAAAAGGTGGCGCTGGTCAGCTTGATACCAGAGGTATTGGTCAAGATAGGCATCACTAATCTTTTCCACAGGCTCGATATCATATACAGGGTTGATTGTGCTATAATTGTCGTTCATATCGATTCCTACTTCTTTAAAAGCTCTCTGTGTCAGTAGGAAGCGCTTGATTCTCTCCAAAGTGGTTCCAGGACTGTCATAAGCCTGCTCAATCAAGGCCAGTTCCTCACGCTGACTTTGGTTCAATCGTCCCTTCACAGAATATGCTTCACGAAGACGTTCCAAAGCAAGAATGAGGATTTTGGTATCGTGCTTGTAGGAAACACTGGGGAATGGAATTGGTGAGAATTTTCGTGACTCCAGCCAATGGACAGTGGTTGTATAGATGGCGACAGCTTCTTCGGATGACACGTATGGACCGTCTTTCATATAGTTATGCTGCCTCTCTTGTTCAGCCTTGAGCCAAAGTCTTGTAAGACGACCAAGATTCTTCTTTGCAACGGTTTTGTCCACAGTCGCTCCTCTACGGATACGCTCACGATTGTAGTGAGCGACAGAAATCCACCAATCTGCCTTGCTCTTCACATAACGAAGAATGATATTCTCGATGGGTGCCGGTAAACCTGGAACCTTCCAAGGGATATTACTCTTCCAGCATCTCCATGCCTCTGAAAGATGTTGAAGTACCGTTTGAACCTTGTTTTGCTTGATACCCTCCGGCATCATATCAAGAAGATCGGCCATGACCGATGCTCGCAACTCAAGATCAAAGTGCGACTCAACACGTTGTTTCGTGACTGTCTTTGCAACACCTTTGCTATGACGTCCTTCAAACTGCCTAGAGAGGAGGTTTCCAAGCCATCTTTCAAGTAATGGAATTATACCACGCATGAAAAAGAGCCAAACTCTCCAAGCAGGTGCCCAGAAACCACAACCAGGTCCTTTACCTACGGGTCCAGAATTGAATCGATAATATATTAAATGCTTCAGATCTTTACATGAGCGAATCTGATGCATCAGCTTGTACTTGTAACGATACATTCCAGTCAGCTGACCAACATGATTGAAAGCATATAGAATACCATCCGCGAGTTGAAAAGCATCGATATTGCCGAGGCGATACTGAACTTGTGCGTCAACGATGAGCTTGGTCATCTTCAAGATCTCTCGCATGAGATGGAATGCATTGCCGAATCGAGACTTCTTTCTCTCCTTTGTTGTCAATGTCTTAACAGGCTTTAAATTGAAATTATAATCAAGATGTAGGTATGTGAGGTTCTTGCGGTGAATCAGAAGATTTAGCATATTGAAACCCTGCCTGCAGACTTGAAGTCCAGCTTCAACCCAATCAATTGTTGTTTGCTGGAAGAATTTCGTTTGCTTCAACGACTTCATCAAGCTCTGTTTACTCTGTGCTTTCGGCTTGCGCTTATGCAGCTCGTTCAAGACATAAGTCTTCAGAAGCTTCTGATATGAAACTCGGACCTTTACTGGTTGACCCTGAGGGCAATGCTCAAGGTACCATTGTTTTACTAGAGGTACGTCTTGTGCCCGAACCATGCGACCAGATCTTCGATTAAACGGAAATGGTGCCCACCACAAAGAGATTGCTGAAGCGGTCTCGCTTGTGTACAACTCCTCATCTGCTAGAAATGGCTCGGCACCACCTGGTAATCTGAAAGCGTCTTCTTCTGGCTCTTCATTATTTCCGGGTCCGAATATCTCGTCTTCGTGACTGATAGTGATATTTTTAGGGGCGACGGATCTTGAAGAGATTGGGTTGATGACGGGATCGAAATAAAATGCTGGTAAACTTGGATCCTCGGCACGAACGTATACCACTTGCGGATGCGAGAACCAGGAAAGCTTAACGCTGCGAGGCAGTGAATTATAAAGGTAGGGATATGCTACACGATATTCTGTCCTAATTGGAGCTCGGAAGATGATGCGATCAATAGCATTGAACTCTCCAAAATCTTCATCATTAGGATCCACATCTTTATATAAAGGTTCGAATCGAGGACCACCAGGAATCGCAACATTCAAAGCTTTGGCGGTCTGGAAGCTTTTCAGCTCGAACATGTGAAAGTAGTTCTTGTCAACCAAATCACTTAATAATGGCCGACTCAATCGATATAAAGTTGCCATTTGAGGTAACGTAAGGTTCCATTCCTTGTAACTCGGGCCGTTGATATGTGGAGTATCAAGAAGTGGTCGATTCTCGTAAAACCATTCAAAAACAGCGCCGTCTTCCCCCTCATCAAGTTCCAGTTGAATTGGCTCCAATGGCTCGACGTCTTCAATGTTCTCCGACCATGATAGGGGCGGCTCTTCGTCGTCGAATGGCGGGAATCTCATCCTCTTGAAATGTCTTCTGTCACTCTTCTCTCTTCTCATACAAATCCACATCGTAGCCCATTGTGCGTGGAACACTGGTTCTATAACTCGTGGAATCTCATTAACCAAAGTCAGGCAACCATTGACATGGTACAGCACCTTTACCTCCCTCGCAGACTCCCAAGGCATTGGCATGTTCTCCAACAATTTCATGACGGCATGTGGCATAAACTTGAGTGCACCGAGATAACTTCGTTTGTCGCTGCTGAATTTCTTTTGTGATACATCTCCAATGTCCTTAACGATCTTTCGCAGATGCTCTGGGGGCATGTCAGCCTTCTGAGTTTCTACGAAGCCACCTTTTCGTTTTTCGCCGAATCGATTTCGCTGAGATCGTAACCAGTCCTTCTTCTTCTGCGCAAACTTCGCAACATGTGGATCCGCTGGTGGTCGATAACCTGGAGGAGGAGGAGCACCGGGTGGCGCGCCCAGAGGCATTGATGGAGGCGCCGAAGAGCTCCATCCAGGCGGTGGAGGTGGTGGTATTGATGACATTTTTAATGTCCTGGGTACCGAGTCCCAAATTCCATCAAAAATTGCCCTTCTGAATAAAGCTTCACTTTATTGTTGATGATATAAAGTGGGTGGATATTGACAATCGCGAGCGCGTTTAGATAAATTTTAACACTATTCGGACGAGCTCAAGGTAAGACCCGCTAGTGCACCCATTTGATAAATCTTAGTTTTAGCTGGCTGCCTGAATGACCGATTATGTAAGTATGGGGCATCAATGATTTTTGGTTTTGTGATCTAACCATATTCGCAATAGCTCAAGCGAAATATCGACGCACCCAGAGTTTTTCGAAATTGATTGAAAACTCAAGATCCATCGACAACACCAACGACTTCAATCGACCACCGAACCAGAAATTCGCCAATATGTCGTCCAACAGATTGACCTACAGACGCCGAAACCCGTGAGTCTCAATTATCTATTGTTGGAAAAGCCATATATTGATTAAAACAGATACAACACTCGATCCAACAAGGTCAGAGTTGTTAAGACTCCCGGCGGCGAGCTTCGTTACCTCCACATCAAGAAGGCCGGTACTGCACCAAAGTGCGGTGACTGCGGAATCAAGTTGCCAGGTGTAAGTAAATATTTCTCGATGGTTTGCGGGGGACAGCGGAAACTCGAAAGTGGCTTAGCAATGGAGGATACAAGCGCGAAGCATCTATCTACGTACCCAATTGTTACTCAACAATCGCCAATACATGGCTCCCGGGCTCTCGAAAGCGGCGACACTTAATTATGATGGACATTTGGTCACGCAAATGGTGATCAAAATGCTAATTCATTTTCTATAGATCCCAGCTCTCCGACCCCGCGAATACTCCCAGATCTCCCGCCCAAAGAAGACCGTTCAACGTGCCTACGGAGGATCAAGATGTGCCAACTGCGTTAGAGATCGCATTGTCAGAGCTTTCTTGATTGAGGAGCAGAAGATTGTCAAGAAGGTTCTCAAGGAGTCTCAACAAAAGAAGCGTTAAGTGGATGATTAGTTCTGGGTCCTTTGGTGTTCGACCGGGAAGGCTGGATGAATCGCAGCAGGAAATAGCTGTATAAATCTCAGGGCTTCCACGAAATCTATGAGCTTCGACTATACTGAGTGCTTGTCCATTGTGAGGTTGGCGTCAGAATGCGCAAAGTGAACGGGGCTCGATTTGGATCTGTTCACCGGTTAGTGAAGCAGACAAATGATCAGGTTTTCCGAGCAATTATGAAGATCTTGCAAAGAAAAGTTCGACATAATTTACGAGTACGTGAGCCGGTTGTTTTATCCCATCATTAGTTTCATTCGACAAGCCAGACATTCGCAGAGATGTACATCTCCAATATCAAACCATGACAGACTCTTGAATCTAGCCCAGCAGCCTATTTGAACCATGCATATATTCCGGCAAGATGCAATGTTGTGACTTTCGATTTGTGGTATCGTGATATCAGGTTGATTCGGACAGCCCTATTCTACATAATTTTTGTCGAAAAGCCCAATACAGTAAATCTAGTCTCAAATGGTGGTACAAATCGCTTTCCAAATGGTTCAATCTCAAAAGTACCAAAAATCGTCATAATTCATCGGTATTGCGATCTGTGTGCTAGCGCTAAAAAAAAGACCAAGATTACCACCACCCAAAGTTATCAAGCTGATTGTTCACATAATTTGTGCACCCTATTGCATTAGAGAGGAACTCAATAACTACCTCATCTCACCGATCATAAAATTTGATTAGGATTGGGTCTTATCAGATAGGTATCGGTATCATTATCTTCAGCGGGTTCTCGGTAATTGAATAATCATGTCCTGACTCGGATTTATACTTTGATTTGTATTGCGATTGTCTGTCACTCCTTGTTCACCGATATGTTGGTTGCCCAGACAAAACAGCGCGTTGACTCATTACCCTGCCTGCCGCGTGAGCTCTGTCTCATAACCAGGTTGACATCATAGAGTTGCCAACATCAAGTTGCCAATCCCAGCGGTAGGTTTCTGTCGGCGGGTTTATATTTTTCAATTATAGATAGCTTTCTACTTACATACTACAACCTAATACTCTCAGCGCAATAATCAATGGCGCCGAATAATACCAGCCCGCTATTCGCGTCAGGGCGACCTTCTTCCTCGAATTCCGAGGAAAGAGCTGCTGCCGAAGACGATGCCCTTCTTGGTAATCGACGAAAGAGTTCCTATGAAGCGAAGAGACCTGGATTCTGGCGAGAGATCGGGCTCTTTACTTGGGCTGTTGTCGCTACTGCTGCTGTCATCGTACTGGGCGTTTTACTATCGCGAAGCCAACAATCCCCTAAGAAGACGAAGCAAAATGGGAAGCGCAATCTCATTTTTATGGTGAGTGATGGAATGGGCCCGGCATCTTTGAGCTTGACGAGAAGCTTCCGACAATTTCAAGGAGATTTACCCATCAATGATATTCTTCAACTCGATCAACATTTCATCGGATCATCCCGCACGAGATCAAGCAGCAGTCTTGTCACAGACAGTGCTGCAGGAGCTACAGCATTCAGTTGTGGAAGGAAGAGCTATAACGGTGCTATTTCTATGCTGCCAGATCATAGCCCTTGCGGGACTGTACTTGAAGCTGCAAAGAGGGCTGGCTACATAACGGGCTGTAGGTGACAAAGTACCGAATTAATTCAGGGAGTCATCGAAATGCTAACTTCTCCAGTGGTTGTTACAACAGATATAACGGATGCGACTCCCGCTTGCTTTGCCTCGCACGTTGATTACCGATTGCAGGAGGACTCGATAGCTTTACAGGAGGTTGGCGAGCACCCTCTTGGACATCGAGTTGTTGATTTGATGCTGGGTGGTGGACGCTGTCACTTCTTACCCAATACATCAGAATCGAGTTGCAGAGCTGATAGTCGTGATGTCACAAAATTGGCGCAAGACAAATATGGGTGGACTTACATCGATACCAGAGATGACTTCGACAAGTTAAAGCTCGGAAAGAATGTTAAGCTGCCGTTGTTAGGCCTCTTTTCCGACACTGACGTTCCTTTCGAGCTTGATAGACGGAACATGAATGATATCTACCCTTCTCTCGATGAAATGGCAAGAACAGCTTTGACCGCACTCGAAGCCGCAACAAAAGACAGCGATAAAGGATTCTTCCTTATGATCGAGGGTAGTCGAATTGATCATGCTGGCCATGGCAATGACCCAGTAAGTTTCAATCGATCATTTCAGAAGAAGTGGTCGAAAAGCCTGTCGTAACAAGTACCATGACTGACTGTTGTTCGCAGGCTGCGCAAGTTCATGAAGTACTCGCATACGATCGAGCTTTCCGAAGTGTCATTGATTTCCTGGACGAGAGTGATACCGAAGGTGCCCTAGTTTCTACTAGTGACCACGAAACCGGGGGTTTATCTGTTGCCAGACGTAAGATATAACAGCTTTTCATGATATGACCTATTGCTAATATCACACTCAGAACTAAATCCTTCATACCCACAATATTTATGGTACCCCGAGGTACTAGCAAATGCTTCCCATTCTTCAGAATATCTTTCTCGAGCTTTACGGGCTCACATTGCTTCCGAGGCATCCACCGAAGGAGACGCTGCGTATAGACGATTTGTGAAAGAGGAACTCGTTGAGGGGGGCCTCGGAGTAATGGACGCAAGCGATGCAGAAATCGACCTCATAATTAGCAACCCGGCTCTTTCCGCTTATGCATTTGCTGATATCATCAGCCGCAGAGCACAAATCGGCTGGTCAACTCATGGTCACTCTGCCGTTGATGTTAATATTTATGGTTATGGTGCTGATGTCCTCCGTGGAAATCACGAGAACATTGAAGTTGGCAAGTTTTTGAGGGATTATCTCAGTGTCGACGTTGATGCAATCACAACAGAGCTAAACAGCAAGAAGGCTAGTGGTCAAAGTGTCTCAGTCGCTTCAGAGCCTGATGTTCCGGTTTTCGGACAATATGAGGAAAGACTCAAGAAGAACCTGCCACAATAGATTTCAAGTGCTATCTTCTCGTTTCGTTATACCCAGACTTGTTGGAAATTGAAGCATTTTAATTGTACTTAATTCTTTCTAGAAATCGTTGAGCATGATCATAGCTTCCCGTGACCCATCCTTAGCAAACTATTTCTTCCGATCAGGGTAATACAAAGATCATCTTTGCCCGATCTAATCTTCTCAATTTTTTCTTCACACCCTGCATGAAACAATCTCCTTCACAGTCAGCGGCTCAACAAACAGCTGACGCGGGTCCCACCATCTCATCTTCTTGTGTAGCTGTTTGAGGTTTGCAAAAGGTACCAAACTTAAGCATCAACATCTCCTTTTCACAATCAATTCCATTGTCAAATTCCGATTTGAGGATCTACTATCTGCCCGCGATCTCTCGCTAGTCATCGGGATATTTTCTAGTCTAAGTGGTTCGTTTGAATGCCCGGGGATGATGAGCCGCCTTACAACTCAGAGTTATCTTTGCATACAGCAAATGAAGACTCACATTATAGAAAACTATTGTGTCACATTGGTTATTGATGGGTTTTCTCTTCCGGGGGGAAGTCATAAATCATGCATGCCTGTGTTTCCTGTATAAATATACTTAATGTATTCGTATCCCGAAGTCTTCTTTTCTCTTGTGCTGTAGCTGTGATTGCGATCTATCCAACCATTCGAGTTGATCTCCATCTTCCATCTCCATCCTTTAGCCAGCTCCCAGCTCCCAGCTCCCAGCTCCCAGCTCCCAGCTCCCAGCTTCCAGCTTCCATACTTCACCTGAGCCAAACAAAACCCAAGCAAAATGTGTAATTACTGGAGCATAGAACCTCTATGCGGGCACCGCACACTGCACGCAGGATCCAACTGTTACCTTCTCTACGCACAATTAGCACGCATCAACGATCCGCGAGAATTAGCACGACCGGGTCTTCCCTTTGAATTCCCACGCGAATGTTTGCCGAATCGTTGGAATGTTCTTCCAAAGTTTGTTAATGAGTATTGTTCGTGGGAGTGTAGGAATAATGGAATGTATGCGGATAGGAGGTGTGGGGAGAGAGATGCTAGGTATGGACCTGGGAATGAGAGAATAGGGGTTGGGTGGAGATGTTGAGGATGGGTTTGAAGTGGAGGTTGGAAGTTGGGATGGGATAGTTGATTTGTGGTGTTATGGTCATTATGGTCTAATTGTGTAGGGATGGCTTTTTGAAAAATTGGATAATTAGATCATGACGGACACTATCACGGTTAATATTTGAATCAAATATTAGTGTCGAAAATTGGGCTGGGTGTAGAATCTCATTGCAGGAGTTTTGGGGTCAATGCAAATATGGCTTGAATTCACGACATCTTCAAATGCTTGGGACTTCAGTAAGTGATATTGAGCCACGGATTTCGGCGCAGCAGGATTAAGTATCCTTGATTCAAAAACTTCATTGTTGATGCTATTACATCAAAAGTTTCGTCGAGTATATGCCCAGTATGCCTTGTATGGTAACTTCCATTCTCTTGCCAGCAGTTCCGGCCTAAATATGTCGAAATCCAGCTTTTCCAGTTTCTCAAGCCATAATCTCGTAGGAACTGCTTGCATGAAAACGCCAAAGCCTCTTTCTATATCGCTAACTTGGGTGTTTTCACTTTCTGCATAGTAGTGACCATCCTCACCTTGATGCTCGAACTCGTGACCTGCATCTTTACCTGCTTGGAGATTCTTCAACATCTCCCTGGCGGTGATTAAGTGATCATTTGCTCTTGTCGCCACTGTGAATATAGCATCTTTTAAGCCAGGAGCTTCAGCTCCATGTCTTAAAACGTCTTCTTCTTTGACACCAGATTCTGCCATAACATCCAACGGTAGAACAACTGCACCTTGACGGCCTCCAGCACTACCACCAAGAGCACCCCCAAAGGCTGCATTGTTGCTATGATGATTTGGTGGTGGCGGAAATGCTATCAGAGGCAAACCTCTTAAGACTGCAGCAATTCCAGCCGCTTTACCAATATGACTTGCAACATGATCTGCTGCCATAGATTGAAGAGGTAAAGCTGCTAATGTCAAATACATTAATGTAGAATATGTATTCTCCGCGTACATCTCAACCGCATCCATATTTGTATAAGGTCGATTATCCATGTATTTCTCTCTCGTATTGATGACTTTCATGAACCATCCTTTCATCACACTTGTACTGATTCCATCATATCGCGATTGAAGGGATGTGAGCGCATGATGTAGGAGAATAGCAACAGGTTCTTTTGGAGGTGTATTCGCAAATGTTCGATTCAAATTATCTCGCCAGAATTGCATCCGCAGTGCTCCGACAGTTGGATTAGAAACAATATCTGGTATTCGAGCTAATTCAATGTTGAGAGCACGAATGGAAAGGTATGCATCTCTTGTTGAGGGAGGAATAAATGTCTGTAGAGTATATGATGGCGAATCAAATTTTCTAGAATCGATTAGACATGGGGGTTTGAAAAACTCACAAAACTCGCAGGACTAACTGGATAAGATTGGAACAATATGTCCTGGCCCGATTGATATCTTCTTCTGTCAATCTGGAGGCATATGGCGCTGGTGTGCTATAAGGAGTGGTAGCATAGGCGCATCTCGAATTGGTATATGTCTTGGAACAGCTCTGAAGCCGTCGCAGAGTATGAGATTTGTACATCAGAATATATATTCCTAAAATGGCTTGATCATGAATGGATGGTAAATATTGTCTTCCTTTGAAATATTGACTGCCGAAAGATTACAAGCTATGTACACAGAAATGAAATCATTGACAAAATAATCGACAGGGCTAAGATGATAACCTTAACTTCTTATCCCGACGTCACTCAATTCTAAATTATTTTCTTGTCGCGTCCACCGCGTGACTTCGCGTTTCTATCAAATCAGCAAGTAGAATATTACTCAGTTGCACTTGCTTTTGTCTGTTTTCAATTTGAAATGACTGATTTAATTCACCTGACATTCTCATACACCTGCAGATATGGAGGGACCTCCAGCCAAAAGAAGAAGATTCTTCACAGAAAAAGCTGAGGGATTGGAGTTTTCACAAGGGCAGGAGGCGATAAATGTACCAGACGAAATCGACGCGCTGCCTCCAGCAATTGAGAGTTCCACAAACGAGATCGCAGAACAAGATCCTCAAGATGATCCAGTCGCGGAGGAGAGAACTCTTGCTGAAGATTCGCAGAATTCATTCGATCAGAACACGTTCGAAAACTTCATTGGCGACAAAGTTACTTTAGAAGAACTGAAGGGGCTACGAGAAGCGTCTGGAAATGATATAGAGAGGGCTGTGAATATGTACTTTGATGGATCTTGGAGACGGTCTACAGTTGTTTCGGGACTCAATCGATCTTCGTCGAATACCAAAAGCACCGTCAGTTCCTTTTTGAAGTCTGCCAATAGCGGTTCTGTCAATGGCTCCAAACCAGTCTCTCCAGAGTCAAACGCTTCGTCGAGACCAGTCTCACCGCATAGAATCATGCCAGAATACCGGTATATAGGAGCTTTCGGGGTTGGAGGATGGGCTACAAAGAGTGGAACAAATCTCATCAAGCATGGCGAAGTTGTACGGATAGAACGTCAAAAGATACAACCACCTAAAGCACCGGCCGGAAGAGGGAAAGGCAAAACATCAGTGGCACAATCATTGCCAAAACCTAATAGTGCAGCAGCACGGCGTGTCGATGTCATTGTACGTTTTACCGATTCGAAAGGATTTGAAGTTGGCCGTCTTCCTCGGGAAACCGCAAACTGGGTTTCTACCTTAATTGATCAAAGAATATGCAAGTTTGAGGGCACATGTGTATATGCACCAGAAAGAATTCGTACCAACGATACTGTCTTTCTCCAACTCCGATGCTCATTATTAAGGACTGCTTTCGAAGATCGCGGTTTTCAGGCACCGGATAATCGAACTACTGGTTTTTTCGAAGAGAAAGAAAGTTCTGAAGAGAAGGAGTTAAGGCTACGCCAGGTTGCGTTGGTAAAATTATTTGAGGAGATCAACCTGCTTCCCACGCAAACGAATGAAGCAACAGCGAAACATAAACGTCAGGGACTTCTTAGTGTCGCGGAGGCAGCTGAACATTATGATAAGGACGAATCGAAGGTTCCTGATTCAGGTTCCTCGACTCCTCCATCTGACGAAACAGAGGAGGGAAAAGAGCTTGAGCAAGATCAACTTGACACTCTATACAGCAAGGCTCAATCACTTGATTTCAATGCTCCTGAGGCTGAGCCGGCAGAAAGTTTTGCGATGGATTTACGGCCGTATCAAAAGCAAGCATTATATTGGATGATGGCGAAGGAACGTGATGAGAAAGACAATAAGAGAGAGGCCTCAATGCATCCTTTGTGGGAAGAGTACGCTTGGCCTACGAAAGACATGGATGATAAGGAGGTTATTCAGGTAGTTGATCAAGACAAATTCTATGTCAATCCATATTCTGGAGCGCTTTCCTTGGAGTTTCCTCTTCAAGAACAACATTGCCTTGGAGGTATTCTTGCCGATGAAATGGGTCTAGGGAAGACTATCGAGATGATGAGTCTTATTCATTCAAATAAGTCTGCTGTGGCTATTCAGCTCGACGAGAAACGTTCAAAGGCTACATCTGTGAATAATTTACCTCGACTTCCAGCCAATTCATCATCAGTAGAAAGAGCTCCTTGCACAACTCTTGTGGTGGCACCAATGTCACTTCTTGCTCAATGGCAAAGTGAAGCCGAAAATGCCTCTAAGGATGGAACTATGAAGAGCATTGTTTACTATGGTAGTGATAAAACTGCAAATCTTCAAGCTCTTTGTTGTGAGGCTAATGCGGCATCGGCTCCCAATGTTGTTGTTACGAGTTATGGGGTTGTTTTATCCGAATATAGTCAGGTTACTGCTAAACATGGTGATAGAGGCGGTCATGGAGGTTTATTCTCCCTTTCATTCTTTCGAGTGATTTTGGACGAAGCTCATTATATTAAAAATAGGCAGTCCAAAACTGCGAAAGCATGTAAGTTAACTTCCACGCCTTTTAGCCCAGCATGTTCGCTATTTATTGCTATCGATATTTTGAGAAATCTTTATGCTAACTAAACTTTCCAGGCTATGAAATTGCCGCCGAGCATCGATGGGCACTTACTGGTACACCTATCGTTAATCGATTAGAAGATCTTTTCAGCTTGGTCCGATTCCTAAGAGTAGAACCTTGGAGTAATTTCTCCTTTTGGAAAACATTTATCACAATACCCTTTGAATCCAAAGAGTTTATGCGTGCCCTGGATGTCGTCCAGACAGTCCTTGAACCGTTGGTACTCCGTCGAACAAAAGACATGAAAACACCAAGCGGTGAAGCCTTAGTTCCTCTACCAAAGAAGACTATCGATATCGTCGAAATCGAGCTATCAGAAGCCGAACGCGAAGTGTATGATCACATCTTCACAAGAGCAAAGCGCACTTTTTCAGCCAATATCGAAGCAGGCACAGTTCTCAAAGCCTATACCAGTATATTCGCCCAAATCCTCAGACTTCGCCAATCATGTTGTCATCCAATTTTAACCCGCAACCAAACCTTAGTAGCCGATGAAGAAGATGCCGCTGAAGCGGCAGACGCTGCAAGTGGTCTCTCAGACGACATGGATCTTCAAAACCTCATCGAGCGGTTCAAGCTCAACGAAGAAGCTGTCGATACCAACATCTTCGGCGCCCACGTCCTCGAACAAATTCGCGATGAAGCCGAAAACGAATGTCCCATCTGCTCCGAAGAACCAATGATCGAACAAACTGTTACAGGATGCTGGCATTCAGCTTGTAAGAAATGTTTACTAGATTACATCAAACATCAAACCGACAAAGGCGAATCGCCTCGCTGTTTTAGCTGTCGTGAACTCCTCAACTCACATGATATATTCGAAGCAGTAAAAGATGAAGGTCATCCGGAAAGCAAAAACGGAAAACCAAAAATAAGTCTCCAGCGAATCGGTTCAAACGGATCCACTAAAATTGCAGCTCTCTTAACCAACCTCAAAACTCTCCGCAAGGAATCTCCATCGACAAAATCCGTCGTCTTCAGCCAATTCACTTCCTTTCTCTCTCTAATCGAACCTGCTCTAACTCGTTCCTCGATCCCTTTCCTCCGTCTCGATGGATCCATGGCCCAAAAAGCTCGAGCAGCAGTTCTTACACAATTCAAAAATAGTGAGAAAGGTGTAGTACTACTCCTTAGTTTGAGAGCGGGCGGTGTGGGTCTTAATTTGACGATGGCGAAGAGAGTTTTTATGATGGATCCGTGGTGGAGTTTTGCGGTTGAGGCGCAGGCTATTGATCGTGTTCATCGAATGGGTCAAGTAGATGAGGTGCTCGTTAAGAGGTTTATTGTTAAGGGTAGTGTAGAGGAACGGATGTTGAGGGTACAGGAGAGGAAAAAGTTTATGTGAGTTTTTCGGTTTTTTCTTCCTTTCCTTCTCCCTTTCCTTTTTTGTGCCTGAAAAATGAAAATGCGATGCTAATGGTTTCCGAATAGTGCAAGTTCGCTGGGTATGATGAGTGATGAGGAAAAGAAATTACAGCGAATTGAGGATATTAAAGAACTCCTTTCTTAGTTGAAATGAGCATATAGATGGTTATATATCTATTATTGTATTTGCCTATATTATTTTCCTGTCTATACTACCTAGCAGACTAACCGGTTCTTGGGAGTTAAATATGTTAAATATGGAACAAATAAATAATGAACAGTTACTCATGAATATAAAATATATTTACCTCAAGATAAGGTTGTACATCATGTATCTTTATGCTTTTCCCCCAGCATGAGGGTGAGACCTTCAGAAGTCCACATGTACCCTAGTAGGCAAGTGCCACAATCTCGGCGAGATCGCCAATATATAACACCATCTTGTCCCGTATTAGGGAGCAATCGCCAAGTATTATATTTCAAACACCTGAAGAATTTAAATCAAAGGTATATATATAATCTACCAGACGTTTTACCCTTCCTCGTACGAAGTGATACGGTTATAATATATACCGTCAATTCCAGGTAGAACCTACTTTTCCCCATGATCCAAAGATATCAATGTTGATGCAGATGTGGAATCTCACCTCACGTCTGATATCTCAAAATCACTCAAAACCAGAACCACTCGTACGGCTATCTGTCAATCTGATCGAGACTTGGATATCCAGAATATTTAAATCATGATATATATCGTTTAGCTCGTGAGATGATCAGCTACGTACGCAGATATTTGAAAAATTTCGTCCAGACGCTACGAAGTTTTATATCTCAAGGACTTGAATTGGTGATTACAACTTCTTTTATCGGCTTATATTTGTTAGTCCTTCAAATTGCACAAAAGTCACGTCTTTTACCCCGGGTGTCTCCCATAATCTAAGAGGAGGAGATCCTACCAATAAATTCCTCGCATGCATACCACATTCTCGGTAGGTAATTAAGGTTAAGACAATTCTCTTCGGAAAGCTTTCGCTTCCATGTCCCTCCCTACCTAGACCATATAACCATGTATACACCAAAAGAGAAAAAAGTCCAAAACAAAAATATGAAGAAAACATACAACAGTGGGGATTCGCTGGTGGTCACCCACCCAACTACTAATCCACCGATCTGAAGCTTGTGTATGGCAGAGCGGACGGGATGCCCAATTCTCTTCAGTCTATGGTCGTATGTGGTAGATTTGTCGTCGGCTAGGAATATATTTCCTGTGAGTTGCATGTGAGATACCTTTGAAATAAGTGGTTTAAATAACGCCTTATTCATTCTTACATTTTTACATTTTACATTTTTATGTTACGAGGTTTGCCGTCTAGATCACGTGGAAGTGCTCTAGGCTCTCGAGGTGGTTTACAACTAGGCGTCAAGCAGGGACTTAAGTAATGACAATAATGATATATAATTCGTAACTAATAATAGGATATACTAAATGATTAATTTTGAGCACGAAGCTTTATACAAAGGAAATCCATCTTGATTATATAGTCCTTCATACTTCTATGATTATTAATGATCCTTTATGATCATTAGTGATCATCTATATCGTGATCCTTAGTGATCCTTAATGATCACCAGTGATCACCTATACCGTGATCCTTAGTGATTCTTAATGATTACTACTGATCATTAGTGATCACCTATACCGTGATCCTTAGTGATTCTTAATGATTACTACTGATCATTAGTGATCATCTATATCGTGATCCTTAGTGATCCTTAATGATCACTACTGATCATTTGTGATCACGTGCCTTGGTAGTTGTGTAGCCCGTCGTAACACCGAGCTCGTATGGACAGATCAGTTGCTACCTCGTAACTGTCACACTCAAGAATACTGGGTAGAGTATCTTGTATTAGAAAATACTAAGCTAAGGAGAAAAGAAGAAGGAAAACAAGAGTAGCGATTGATTGATTGATTGATTGTGTTTATCGTCATAGGCCGTAGGCCCACGCGCCTTGGCGCGTGATAACCTTAGCCATCTATTCCAGTTTTGGACAAATGACGCTCAGAGGAGAAGCCTCTGAGTGGTTTACTAGCTAGCTAGGGGGAGTATTTATATACAATTTAAAGGGGGCTAGGGCAGGATTTACATGATTGCCTTCGCAGGGGGGGTTTGGGCCGGTAGGCCTTTTGGGGTTGTAATTGTGGTCATCCTCGTCCACTAGATCACTGGCTCTTGATCTCTCTCCCTTCCCCTCATACTATTAAAACATTGTACTCGAAAACCCTTCATCCCTGATCCCCTTCCCAATACCATCAATCCAATTACTCCTTATATACCAGAACGTACTGTAATCGCCCACCGTCAGGATTGCCTCGTCCTCATTCTGATCATCCTGCCAATAGAAAGCTTATGAAGGAGCACCAATCCTCATATAGCGTAACTATAGCATGCACAGGTAGTGGCTTGTACGGGTGTCCCGATTCCGTAAGTAGCATACCTCCGCTGAATGAGAGCAGAGTAAGTTTCGTCATCAGCTCAGGTCCTTCAACAGTACTCCTCCGGTGTTCCCGTATGGAAGGTATATAAATTGTTGTCGTTTCAGTCGTGTCGATCATGGGAGGTATACAGTATATAACATATACGCGTCAAAGATGTCGAGTTGTACTATATGTTCCAGAGGAGTCTCACTTTTAAGAAGTGAGATGATTTCGTGGCGTATTGTCGTAGATGATGGTGTTGTCCTCTGTTTCGTAATAAAGGTAGTGTTGTAGAGAGCGCATTTCGATAATGCAACTGTCAAAAAACCGCAAACGGGTAAAAACGTCGTGATCGGGCGCCTCTTCCTCTTCCAATTACCACGACTCCATCAAATAACTCAAACTTAGCTCTGCAGACTCTCATAAGAGAGCTGGAGGTTCGTAGGATGCACCGCGTACAGGTGTTGAGTCTTCGCATCCCAACAAGAGTAGCGAGTTTTCCTGTGATTAAATACAAACGGGGCATGCCACGTGACCCGAAGGTGTGAGGCGTCACAGTAACAATTTTAATTAAAAGATCTTTTATAAAATACTTTTTTAAAGAGATTCATTTTATTTTATTAAGTTTTATTTGAAAATTTATATATATATATAATTTATTTTAAATAATTTTATTAAAAAGTTATTAAGATTTTAAAGATTTTTCAAATTCATTTATGTTTTATATTAATAACAAATTCAATTTATAAATCTTAATAAAAAAATATAATTTTGAAAATTATGAAAATTATAAATGTCTATATAAAGAATTTTGTGACCAAAAGGGTGTTTATAGACCAGCAATTGTATTTAACTTAGAATCTACAGGTGAAGAGCACCTGTAGATGGGGATAGCTACTCTATATATACACAAATGAATGGCCTAGCCGCAATGGCTAGGCAAAAAGAAGTCATATTTATTCCTCCAATGATCTTACTTTACCGATAACCATTGATACCTAGTACTTGTCCGGATCTGATCCTCAGGTCACCTAAATCGCATACTAATCTCGAGTAATCGTATCATGTGTGGACATGGTTAATGTACCTGAGGTTTCTTATATAATAAAGGTGGGAGGAAAGCAGGGATTTCCGTCACAAATTTTATTTTAAATTTTAGTTAATTAATTAATCAATCTCTTATAAAATTATAAATAAATAAAAACTACAATTTTTGATATAAAAGAGTGTGTAACGATACTGTACTGGGGGCAGCGGCTGCCTGAGGTTTCGTCTGGTTAATAGTTGTGGGTTAAGGTGTTACGACGGGCTACACAACTACCAAGGCACGTGATCACAAATGATCAATAGTGATCATTAAGGATCACTAAGGATCACGGTATAGGTGATCATTGATGATCATTAAGGATCACTAAGGATCACGGTATAGGTGATCACTGGTGATCATTAAGGATCACTAAGGATCACGATATAGATGATCATTAATGATCATGAAGGATCACTAGTAATCATGGAAGCATAAAGGACTATATAATCAAGATGGATTTCCTTTGTATAGAGCTTCGTGTTCAAGATCAATCATTTAGTATATTCTACTATTAGTTACAAATTGCATTTCATTATTGTCATTACTTAAGTCCCTGCTTGACACCTAGTTATAAACCACCTCGAGAGCCTAGAGCACTTCCACATGATCTAGACGGCAAACCTCGTAACATAAGGCTTTATCACTGGTATTCACTTGGAAGTGAATTCGTTACTTCATCAAGTAGAATGTAGGTAAACTAATTGATAATTAAGTTGAGCACGAAGCTCCTTAACTACGAGACTAAATGAATGTTTATATACCCTATTTCATCTTTTGAGGACCTCTGGGACCCTAAGGTCCAAAAGGTCCTCGAGGTCACGTGAATTAATGAATCGTGACAGAGTGATCCAATACAAATGTGGTCCGAAAGTAGAGTATTTGATTGTGAATACATTTGCAGCGTGTTAATAAGCGCGATATCCTTCAAGCAGTGGTCAATCTAGACATCTATACAAATATAAAAACTCATCCGCGGTGTATTAATCATTATACATTTACAAATTCTATACTATCCTATACTATGCTATACTAATAAATCATTCCTAATCAAATACATAAATATAAATACCATCCCTTAGGTACTTACACATAAACATATCATCTCACCCAAAACCAACTACCCCATCGCATGATACTGCTGCTGACCACACGGCCCATTAGAAACCGAAAACGCATTAGCACTAGTCCCGGCAGAGGTATAGAAATAATTCGCCACAACACTCCCATCACATTTCCCATCACTAGAAGACAAATAACAAGCACCCCCGGGTAAATATAACGATCCAGCACAACCTGATGCATTCTTCTGACAAGCCACGCAACAATCATATGCTGAGGCAGCAGTAGTGGCCGCGAGGACATTATTGAGAAAGCGGTTTTGACTGATGGATTGACCGTTGAAGGATGAGATGACGTTGTTGGGGGCGCAGGCGGCGTAGACAGTGGGGGTTGCGCCGGAGATTTCGCTGACGGTTTGGGTGCTGGTTATGGTGGTGATGGAGGTTGCGGCGATGGTGCTGGAGATTGTGGAGATGAGGGTGGAGATTAGGGTTGTGGAGGCGTCAGCAAGCATTACGCTTGTGGTGGTGGTGATCGTGGAGGTGGAGGTTTCCGTGATATAGGGAGTGGCGAGGTTGGTGATTGTTGAGGATGCTGTTTCGGTGATTGTGGTAGTGGATTCGATTTTTATTGTCGATGTGCATCCAATGAACGCTGGGTAGGATGTGCTGATTTCAGGGATGGGGATTGTGGATGTGGGTATCGAACTGCTATATGCAGTGCCAGAACTAATAGTTGAGTTTGCGCTGATTATAGGAGTAAGGCTAACTCTACTGGAAGTTGTGATACCATTTGGTACATAGATTGAAGTAGTTGCGTTTTGAATTGGGCTGATGTTGCCACTGATAGCTGTGCCAATTGTTTTGATGATTGTTGGTGCAGATCCGGAGCCAGCAATGTACTGAGATGTTGTGTTGTAGTAATAATGTCTAGAGAAAGATGAAGATGGGACTGGTCCTCGATTTCCTGTACTTTGTTCTTCATTCTTTGAACTATATTGAAAAGTTGAGGTAGTTTTCGTGAAGGACTTCAAGGTGGTTGGCTCTTGGTTATTCAACTGGCCTGGCTTAGTCACAGTATAGTATGTATCCTTTTCATAAGTAAGGGTAGATGTCACAGTGACTGTGATAGTCACTGGTTCCTGAGGAGGCCGAGCAGGTCCACATTCGTCACGCTTGACTGGAGCAACGTTGGATGAAGCAACCGGTGTAAAGCCATTCGCAGCTGCAATGGAAACGGTTGATGGACTTCCAGTAACTGTCGCAGTGACGATATCAGTCTGGGTTCCAACAACAGTACTTGTGATAACAACTGTATCGAGGATAGTTGATATACTGCTAAAAGTGTCGGTAACTTGAGAAATTGTTGTTGTTTCAGTAACTGTGGTGAATTCTCCCACTGTAAGGGTGGTAGGCATCAAGGTCAAGGAAATGGAAGGAGTGAAAGTGATTATGCTGGTATCGATCTGGGTCGAAGTCAATGTCTCAACGGATGTAATAACAGTTAATGGTATTGTTGAATCGAAGGATGTGGTGCATGACAATTGATCGTCAGTTGCTAAAGCTGGGGCGGTGCCATTTGACAAAATGACGGAAAAGACTGGAGTCGCAAGGACAACGAATGGAAGGAGCGTGGAAAACATCGTGATGATTAGTTTTCTATGACTCTAGGGAATGAAAGGAAGGTTTAAGGAGTCGAAATCTCAATCTGAGAAAAACTTTGCAAGACAGCATGCCATTGAATTAAGTACTTCTCGAAGCTGCACCTCCTGTATTGCGCCACGTCAAAGGAGCTCCCGCATTCGGACATGTCCGGGGACAATGGTCCTATAGTATGCTTCTCAAAATAACGATAAAATTCAATTCACCAAGAAATAGATTGAGGCTGAATGCTAAGTGCTGCTGCCAAGATCACTAGCTTAAAATGTTGGAGTCCTTAATTGGTGCTAGACCTTCTGAAGTCGAGCTTAGGTACATAAGCAGCAAGTACCTTTCTTCGTACAGGGGAATGGAGAAGAACAGCTTTTTGCACTGTTGTGTCCTGTGAATTTTTAGATCCACGTTAAGGGAGAAAACTTAAAAGATAAGGAAGTGGATATCTCTAGATCTATAATTTGAGCTTAAAAGAACTATTGGTACCGAGAAGTTTAACGTCCTCTTGCCTGGGTCTAAAAGCGACCAAGGACTCTTCCCACGAGCCTGGGTGAGTTGTGTAAAATCTAGATCTTAAAAGATCAGAAGGTCTATGCTCATGCACGTGCCATCATGGGACGATGGTAGCAAAAATAGTCATCTAGATTGATGTGAACAAGCTGAAAGCAGATTACATTCGCTTATTCTATCCACTTCCCGACTAATGCAGGGGGGTTCTTACTATTTCAAAAATGGGCTGACTATTACTGAAGTAGCTAGTCTACCAGAGAATGGGAGCAAAACGTGGAAAAAATGTTTATGATTAGATACCATGAGAGAAAAATTCGACGATTCTGGGGAAGTGCTCTTTTGATCTAATTTCCGGGTCGGTACCAGTTTGTCAGGTAGATCTTTTCAGCTATGGTATTCGAACTAACGATGCTTAACCAAACCAATTACCATGCATACAACTTTGTTTAAATTCAGGATCGTTCTTGGTATTGAAAGGTAAAAATTAGCTCAATTCCTTCATTCTATGGCTGCATGTTGCAAATTCTGCGTTGTTTATTGATATATTAAATGGACATGACTATGCCAAGAACCACGGAAAAAAGGTCAACGTTGACCATACGAATTGTGTCCAAATATTTTGATTGCAATTATGAATTAAAAGCAAATTGAAAGATGAATAAAAATATCAGAGCGAATAAAGTAAATAGTGGCTCTTGTATATTTTGAATCTTTTAAAAGTTGAACAGAATAATTGGATTGCTGATTGGTTTCCCGGTTTGGCCTGTTATTCCTCTTCCGAAATAGTATGGTCCGTACATGGTTTTGTGTGCGATAAGCTAACCTGCACTTGCTAGAAATACAATTGAGATTTCGGTTCTGCATAATCTAGGCTTCAAACAGAATTAAGCAGCTTTGCTTCGATAGTCGTCTATATCTTCTGTGGCTTCCAGACCGATTGCCTAATTCGTACTGAGTTGGTATATACTCAAGCTTCAACGAGGAAATGACAGTAAGCGGAGATACAAAGCATCACTACGGTCTATCAATCTTTAGTTCGATTCTCATCTATACTTCTCATACCCAATTTCCTCCCTAATCCGCGCCTCGACCTTCTCTATCGTCTCACTATCATAAACTTCCTCCAATTTCTTGCCTTCCTTAAAAACCAGCTTCTCGTGTTTTGTTGCCTCTTCCCTCGTCATACACACCAAATCTCTGGCTCTAACTGTACTCGTCTTCTGACCCTCGACACTTGCATCCAGTGTACTTCCCTCCTCAGGTTTCCTCCATCTCGTCAACGCTAATCTGGTTGATATCCCACTCAGTGCTGACTTTCCCTTATACACTTCCTCAACTATGTATCCCACATCCGCCGATGTTAATGGGACTTTCAATCCTTGTGCATCTTCATTTGCGGTAGTTGCCCGAGCGAGTTTTTCTTCAAAGCCTTGCAATTGAGCCAGTATTCCATCATACATCTTTTCTCGACCTTTCGCGGGTACGTATTCGCATGGATAACCTGTGATTTGAAGGATCAAATGATTGGCAACTACATATCCGAAGACAGCGGGCATAGTGCCTAAAACAGGCAAAATTCGAACGCGGAAATCGGGCAACACACCCAAGTCGCCAACTGAACCTTTCTTGAATTCCTCCTCAGGTAAGGGCAAAAGTTGCGCTTTTCCTGGTCCGGGCTTTTCTGTTGAATATACCACGTTGATACCGGATGTAATACCTAATAGACGAAGTCTTCTTCGAGTGGAACGGGAGAGGGGATCATCTGTGCTAGCAGAGATATCTCCAACAAAGACTCTGGTAGGGTCGGATTTGCATCCTGCGCCCATGGATGAAATCACTGGTAGGTTGTTTCTGTAACAATATTCCAGCAATTCCACCTTACTATCTATATTATCAATAGCATCCACAATATAATCCGGCTTTCTACCGTTCCATTCTGCAAGTAAAGAGTCCGCTGCTTTGGCATGGAAAAGTTCATTTCTCAAATCGAAATTTACCCATGGCGCGATTTGTTGTAGACGATTCTTCAAACATCCTACTTTCGGTGTGCCAACATCTGCGAGTGTTGCGACAGCATGTCGATTGAGGGACGAGAGGGTAACTTGGTCGAAATCAATGAGACGTATATGCGAAACTCCTGAACGCGCAAGAGCTGCCGTGCAATGCGATCCAACGCCTCCACAACCAACCACAACGACAAATGCCGAGCGCAACTTTTGTAGTCCATCATCTTTCAAAAATACTCGATTCCGGGCTAATTGTTCTAAAATGAGTTCTGCACAAATTAGTCATGTCTTTAGTGTACCTCTGAAAAATTGAAAGTACCATCATCGTAATCCCCTCTTCTCGCTCTCTCCGCCAATGCAGCACCTCTCTCATCTTCTTTACTTATGCCCATACCCTTAGGCGCGATCCCCATATCCGTAAGCTTCACTTCTTTCGTCAGCATAAGCACTTGAATGCAATCTTGTTCTCTTTCCAGACGGAAGATCTCGACATACCAAATCAGCATGATGATCTCGTCCCAAACTAGGTATTGAGCTCTTCAAATCTTCCACTTTTTCTTGCCTCCTCAAAGCCTGATAACTGAAAATTGCACCTGCTACCACCGCACCAGACACAAGCGCAGTAGCTGTAAATTGCGCTTGTGAAGAGCTGCCCACGCGATTGATCAAATTCGACATTTTGAATTATGTCAATGGTATAATTGTAAGAGTAAAAATTTCATAGGTTTTCGTAATATCCGTAATAGTAATGACAGGAGTAGGCTATATCAATATTATGCCCATGTTGTAAGTTATAAACAAGCCATTGCAGAATTTCATGCATATTATGACTATGGCGATATTTATTGAAACTTTTTTTGAGCTTCACCTGCAGATGACGGAAATCTCCGTCGCGGGGTGCCTCGGCTATTGATTGGTAAAAAATGGGGGCCAACGTTAACCCAGGTACTTGTCTTGTGCTCTATCATGATATATCTCAATTAAGCTTACAATCTCTATATCCACAAGAAGCATGCCAAAACTATTAAATTCTATCTATCTTAAACACATTAGAAAAATGGCTTCCGCACCAGCAGCACATATCAAATCTCTCGATCACCTCGTCCTAACAGTTGCCTCTATACCCCGCAGCACCCAATGGTATAAGACGAACCTGGGGATGCAGTCGGAACAGTTTGTCTCAAGTGCTACACCAGATATAACGCGCCATTCTTTGGTCTTTGGTTCACAGAAAATAAATCTACATGAGCTTGGAAAGGTAACTTTTCCTTTATATACACCCTGTCACTCCATGACATCTAAAATCTAAACCGGTTTAAAAATATTAGGAATTTGAACCCAAAGCTCAGAATGTAAAAGATGGAAGTGCAGATTTATGTTTTCTGACGGATGATGACGTGAAAGATGTTCGTAGACGTCTAATAGATGCTGGTGTGGAAATGGTAGATTTGAGTCCCGAGAAGACCGACGAGGGAATTGTGAATCGCACAGGTGCCCGAGGCAAGCTGAGAAGTGTTTACTGTAGAGACCCAGACGGGAATTTGATCGAGTAAGTTGAAGACCTTCCCTTAAATTCATTGAGTATATTTTGATGACCATTGAAGAATCTCCAACTATATCTAAAAACTATGAAACATGATTTTGACATCCTACCATTTTTGAAATGGGTATATTACGCCTTCTTACCTTTCCCGATGGTCGTTACTCATAATCATGATCATTATTATTCTCCATTTGTTATCCCATTACCTGACCAATAACACCATGCTGAAGGTCCTTGGGAGTAAACTACGAGAAATGTTACTGTCTCAGGACGTTCATAGCATCATCCCTCTCAAGTCGTAACGGTTTTCTCTCTTCCTCTATTAAAGCTTTATCCTCTACATGAGAAAAGTCACCCGCCAGGAACTTTTCGTTTTGAATCGAATCCTCGTTCCTTCTTTGAGGCTGCAGCGAATCTCTCGTAGCCCACGCCCGACTGGTAGCTTCAACGTTCCGTATGAGGAGCTCTCGAGCCTCTTCTTCGGATGTAGGTATAGGCATTGCAGAGATGTCAGTTGGTGTTAATGGTGGTGAGACATCGTATGGATCCTCATCAGGGGCAGTAAAGTCTTCACTCTCCGAAATGGAAGACACTGCAGATTCAGAGTCATCGATAAGATCAACAGCAGTGGCTTCCAAAGGCTCTACAGTATCCTGTATCGTCCTGTCTGCTGGGCTAATTTCCGATTCGGCTGCTGAGGAGACATTTTTCAACCCGGCCTTTACTATGTTTCGGAGTAACCTCCCTTCATTCTTTATATAGGCCTTGTAAAATATCTTATCGATCATTGCCGCTGCATGAAGATCCTCGTAATTATCGAGGAGTGACAGAATGCGTAGGCTAATGGCGTCTCTGGCCACTTCTTTTGCTTTTTCGGCCTCGACAATACACCCTTTTGTACTGATTTGAGCTGGCAGCTCAAAGATCTCTTCCGAGGCCATATTTTGTGGACCCCTACCCTTACTTAATGCCCATCCATGTTTGCCGGAGATATCGTGAAGCGTAAGGCCTATGATGGTGTTCGAGATGTCATTGATTTTGCTCCTAAAGTTAGGAGCAAAATCACAGACACCAATATGAGTCTGAGGAGGACTAGGCATCAGTCGCAAGCAGTCGATCAATTCCTTCAGACTACGCTTTGATAATAGTTTAGGAGAAAGAGGTGAGATCCCCAGTTCGTTATAAACCAGCATAAGCCAGCCAAGGTTAGTGGCATCGCAGGTATGAGATCCTCTTGGGCATCGAACGGTGGACAGTTCAAGTGATCCTACATGAACTGATCTCTCCGCGTTTTGTTGTGGCCTTTGAAGGTACTCATTTACGAAGCTTGCACAATAATCGAGGATTTGTTCCATGTATATAGCCCTTCGCGCTCTAATCGTATCCTTGATAACCTGTGGCCAAAGTTTTGTACCTTGAGTATCACCATCGTCTTTCGAGTTAAGGATAATGCTTCGAGAAATACGTGTAAACAGATCTCTTGCGCCAAATGTGTACGCAATAAGGAGGAGTTCTTCAGGATTGCTCTCGGCCGCTCGGGATTCCCATTGAGGTAGCCATCGATACTCCACTTGTAACTCCACCGGGGATGTACACCTGTATCTCAGGCATACATCTGCGATACTAACAAACAATGGAAAATTAATATCGTCCTTTGGAAGCCTGTCGGTGTGTCCATGGATAGCATGAAGCAGGAGAGCCAGAGCCTCGTGGTTGTTGGGCTCCATCTGTGGCATGCGATAGACATTTACTCCATTTCCGTCTTTTCCGTCCTTTCCAACAATCCTGGACGGCGCTTTGGGCAGATCATTCATCATATTCACCGGGATGTTAGGACCAGGAGAGAGCATGTGAAAGAATAAGGGCGACACATCGTCTGGGCTCAAAAAATGGGATGACACACGAAATCTGATGATCGGAAGACTATTGGAAGGGCGGTTTGCAAACTCTAAGATTGTGTCCCCATTGTTATAGATGACAGATTCACGAACGACTCTATTTGGTGTATGACCTCTCTCGAATAAGCTTTCAGATTCTTCGATATCATGCTTCAGCTTGTCGAAGTTCAAAGATCGTATCTTGTATTTTTCGAAGAATTCTGGCTTTTCCGACCTCACTCGACGGATACTGGTGTCTCGCCATTTTGTGATAACACTTTTGCGATGCTCTTTATCTGCTAAGAAAATCTCAAGCTGACGTTGAGATGCATCCGGCTCATAAGCAGTGTATGTCACCACAAGAGAAGTATGAAGGGTGTTGAGAAGTGTTTCCTGGAAGGCTTTATAATCGCGAATAGCTGATAGCCACTGACTATTGATCTGGAATGGTAAAGATGCATCATTGCCTGACCCGTTGCTGAGAGATAATCGCGTATCCAACGGACCTATGTTGGATTCCAATGATGGATTCCGCGCATGATGCTCCTCTAGAGTCGTCATACGTTTCAGTTCCATGAAATAATATGACAATATCGTGAATAGATTTTATAATAAACAAAGAACTTACGCGATTTTTCAATCAATTTTCGACAATGGTTTAGAGATTCCTCTCTTTGCCTTTTGTAAATTTCCCAAGTGGCATCTACATTTTTAGGTTCCGGTCCCGCCGGCGCTCTGCGCAGCCTTCTCACATTTTCATGCAATTGTATATAATTAGGATCGTGCAACGCGCCGATGAAGAGATCTTGCGACAAATTGAATTTGGTCGATTCGATTTCCGGGGGAGAAACGGGAGAGCTGACGATCAGATCGCTATGAGGGGGCTACAACGATGTTAACAAAATGAACTTGTTGTCTATAGGAATATTTTGAGAATATACATCAATCATCAAGCCAGAGCTACTAGCTGTAGCCGGTTCTTCTCTTGTGGTAATTGTGGTAGTTGCTCTTCTCCCGGGCCAGAGTGAGAACCGTCCTGGCTTTTGGTGCGGGCCGGAATTTGGTCCGCATGCTTGCGATTGCTGTCGTCCCATCCTCGACATGTTGAAGTGGATTTACTATCTTTCCTGCGAACAGTTTATCGAGGTCGTATATTTTGACAATCATGATGGAAGGCTTCACAGCGAATCAATATGAAATGTCAATATATGTAAGACTGTTGACGAGACATTCTCTTGCTAAAGGCAGTGTAATGCCAAGATCTGGAACCAAAGATTTGTGGGGCGGCTGAGTTGATCAGTTTGTGGGGTGGTAAAGTTATCCTGGTAATCCATGTGGTTCTCCTGTCGCGAAATGGATAACAACCGCTGCATCATCCAAAGTACATATTGTGTGTATGTGTATACATATATGTATATATATTGAAAGTTTATATACAAATTGTCTAGGATAAATGCCAATGTACAGATTTGATACTGAGAGCAATATTACAACGGCAAGATGCCATTCCATTCCCTTCTCGAGTCGCAGGACCTTTGTGTACGAGCATGGCCGCAGTATAGGAATAGTTTCCGTCTTCTCACGCGAAGTTTACAAAAGCGATCATGTCGGCCTAAATGTTAGTCGAGCTTGATGGAAGAGCCGGGCAAGATGATTGGCAGTGAGTAGTTTGGTGATGCGTCAGTTCTTACATGTTTGCTGGTTCCAGCTCGCAGACTTCTCGGGATTGTTGTTTCTCTAGTTGCTCTCACGGGTACTCTCCTCCAGATAATAAATGTCGGGGAAACAGATAGAGTACCAAGCCATGCACCTATGAGCTCATATCTAATTTCTATGCAAAGATCTGGCAAAAAGGAACGATGGTCTAGAAGTATAGCATGTTTCTGCCATTAAATTGGCTTGCAAAACTCACATTCGCTAAGTTGTTTTAGTGTTTCATTGGAAGTAAGACAATTGAGTTTACGCTCAGTTCTCCTAACGCATACACAGCTGACCGTGATATTAAGATTGGTGCAGATTCCACGTCGAGCATTCTACCTGTCTTTCAAGCGATTCTTGCTGGAATTCTCTTTGCGAACAACATCACAGGTTCCCCAGTAGGACGCTCAACTTAAGGGGTAACTGATGAAAGTTTCTTTCTATCGTACGAATATCTCGATCAAGGATTACCAACTCTCGAAAAATTCAGCGTTTATGTAGAACGATAACACAAAGTTAAGATGCATTCTTACCTCTGAACCAGTCCTTGAAGGTGTCAGATCGGCCAAAACAACAAGGAAGCTTGAAGGAAGTAGATATTTCGATTCCAGTACTCAAGACGATCTAGAACCCTCTTAAAGCTTCTTTCTTACAAATATTACGCGACGCTTTTCTGAAGTGAGTATCAATACTGTGCTACGGGAGAATATATCCAATTTACACAATTTTAGTGGCTCGTAGCCTCTACCGGGCATCAATCTGGTTGTGATTAGCTTTGTAGTAGAAAGGCGAAGGGCAAGGCCTAGAAGATATATCTGTCATCTCAGCAGATAGAGTAATGTAAAAGCTCAAGAAGGTGGTTTAGTGGATAACTTTCCTTCAAGATCAACTTGTGAAAGCACTAGCTCATGGCCAATCCACAACTTCGGGACTTGAGCTCTCAACTTTCGAAAAGTCGCTGAGCCGCGGGTTAGCCTTTTGGGGAGTGGAACTAAACATACTAATGCAATTAGATGCAATGCTAGTCAAATCCTTCCACAGCAAGTGCTATGATAACGGACAAACATGTGAAGGAGCTGGGTTGAGAGCTAATCCTATTAATTTTACTGTTTCATCTAGTGTTTCTTGATGGAGACATATTATTAGTTTATAGAGAATGAACTCGGGAGTAAATAATCTTCATTCACTCTCGACACTCATATTGCTCTATTCCTATATCCGAAAGCTAAATTCATACATCTACACAAGCAGCGAACCAGAATCCGATCTCACAACCGTTCCCGTCACACTACTATCCTTCATCAACCACAAATACGACTCTGCAATCTCTTCCGGCAACGCAACATGCCTCGTCAAAAGCTTCTTTTCCATCTCCTCAAAAATCGCCGTTTTCAGCTCCTCCCCAAATCCCTCCCACAATTCCGTCTTCACCGGACCCGGACTCACAACATTAACCCTCACAGGTGCCAATTCCACCGCCAACGCCCTAGCCATCCCATGCAACCCCGCCGCATAACTTGAAAACACACTCCATCCCACCGCCGGCTTATCCGCCGTCGACCCCGTCGTCAACGTAATGGAAGCCTTGGGTCCCTCATTCAAATATCTACTCCCAACTTTCGCTACCATCAACTGTCCAAAAAACCGCACTTGCCCCATCTGATACATATCCTCTAACGAAGTATCTTTCAACGCAACAATAGTAATTGGTTGCCCAGCACGTAAAAACTATATGATCTACTTTCCCCGTC